AAAAAAAAAAAAAAAAAAAAAAAAAAAAAAAAAAAAAAAAAAAAAGAAAGGAAAGGCTGGTTCGAAATGTCGAACTCCTGCGAAACTCTGAGCAACTATAACTATAAATATATATAAATAAATACATGTGTGCGTGTGTGCGTGTGTGTGCGCATAGAAATGGTTAAGAAACGACGAGTTATCATCTTATTTTATTTATCAAATGTGCATCTCGTCGGTGCGGGATTTAAACGGACGATTAAATCTCTATAAAATGATTAATAATGATATATTTAACTATAGCGTTATCATCTATTATACTTACGTATACGTTATATTTACTATGCGTGCATGTGAATAATATGCATATGCATGCATGGAAACGACGTATACACGACACTATCGTAATTCTCGCGGTTCCTCAATGAAATAATACTTCTTTTTCTTTTTTTATCTTGTTTTCTACGCGTCAATGAGAATTCTATTTTGTACGTGCATATGTTGAAATGATATGTGTATATATATATATATATATATATATGAAAGAAAGAGATAGAAATTGCATCACGCGCGCGTGTAAAACTATATTCTTGCTCCGAGTACGTATTGCTTGAGCTATACTACTATTCTTCTACTTTTACTACTATAACTACGCCTACACGTTTATATATACAAATACCTACATACGTGTTATCTTTCGTAATACTACTACACAAGTATATATATATATATATATATATACATTTGTTATTATCGCCAATGAAAGAGAATGAGAGAAATAGAGATATGGATAAATAGTAAAAGAAAGATTGAGAAAGAAAGACAATAGTAGTTTCAGGATAGGAAAAGAAAATGCATATATGTATATATATATTGAAGTGTGTGTGTGTCTGCTGATACGTTTGTATATAAAAGTAAAAGAGAAGTTTGAACGAACGACGAAGTTTATATCTCTTGGACGAGGAAGGAAAATCGTAAAGCGAAAAGGCGGCTGTGCTGCCCGGGATTCCGAGATTAATGTTTGCAAAAAGTGGCACGAAATTTATAAGAGTGAAAGAGAGAGAGAGAGATACATACATACATACGTACATACATACATTGTGTCGAGAAAAGATTGGAATTTGCCGATAGCGTGAAAATTGCAGCAACCGTAAAGACAAATTGTGAATTCTCTTTTTCGTATTCATACGAGCTGCATTTGTAACATTCTATGCCTTTTTTTTTTACTGGGGAGGGAGGAGGGGGATAAATTAAATTATTATAATATAAGGATTTGAGAGTGAGAAAAGGGAAATAATCATTTTTTTTCTCTCCAATCGAATTTATACGCTTTTTTATTTGATTATTTTATTAAGGACGAAGAAATTGATCGATACACTTTGCGTTGGCAAATTGCAATGTAAATTAATTCGGATATAAATATAGCTATGGGCATTTTCCACACAAAAAAAAAAAAGCAATAAAAACAAATCAAATCAAATAAAATAAAACGCGTCTTCCGTTATCTCTTTGGATTATTTTCTAATGTTCTTTTTTCTTTTCTTTTTCTTTTTGTTAAAGTTGTAATCGAAATAATCTTCTTTGACAATCAATTAGATCAAATGTTCATATTATTTCGAATAAGTAGAGAACTACGTGTGCTGTGTATGAGAATGTCATATTTGCAGCGTATGCTTTTTTATTTCTTCCATTTTTTTTTTTTAAAATACGATTAAATTTATCTTCATTGAGCGTTCGTATTCAATAAGAAAATAAAAAGAAAGAGAGCGAAAGTGTGAAAGAGAGAAAGAGAGAGAGAGAGAGAGAATACAAGATTACGGATACTTTTTTTTCTTTTTTTTTTTTTTTAAATATAATTAATATAGTTAGATACATTTTTATATCAAAGTTCCTAAACAAGTGCAGATTTATAATAGAATATAAGAAACGCGCGTGCAATTATAAAAGCATCCAACGTTGTCTTAATCGCCATCTCTCTTCTTTTCGTCTCAATCGATATATAGACAAAAAAAATATATGTATAGAAAAGTAATATAATTATTAACAAATTTATGAAATTTGTTTAAGGGCTCGACATTTTGCTTAAAAGCTATCGTCTTTATTAATTACAAAAATAATATATATATATTATTATAAAAATAATACGCCCAGATATAGAAAACAAGA